TAAGTCGGAGCCTGAAAAGAAAATTTAAGATTATGAACTTTGCTTGACAGAGGAACGATCACCACTACTTTGGAATGACAACATAAATATTCTAATTTTCTACAGTTACTAACATTTAAACTAGTTAATTGATTACTACAACAATCTAAATGTTCTAAATTAACAAAATCAGACAAATCTAATTCACCCTCTAATTCTTGATAACTAATACTAAGATCAGTAATATTTGGTCTAGTTTCTTGAGGATAGTTCTGATCTAGGTATTCTTGAGCATTTACCATGGTTTAATAATAATTTTTTATCAAATGTCTGAACAATCTGAACAATTTATTTTTTATAACTTAGACTTTTTCTTATAAAACACCACATAAACCATCACTAAGACCAAAATACACCCAACGCCTATTAAAATAGGAGTATAATTAAAAGGTTGCTTATTATCTTCTACTTGTTTATTCTTATCCTTTTGCTCTAGATTATTTAGTTCTTTTTTTTTTATTGGCTAATTCTGCTTCTTCTTGGGGGGTTTTGTTAGGTTTATTAGTTAGTTGAGTGATAGTTTGCTGTAGTTTTTCTTTTTCTGCGTGTGTGTTATTATTCAATACCTTTATCTTTTAAAAAAGAAGTTAAATCTTGTTCAACCTGTTGAAAGACTGCTTTTAGTTCTTCTTGATTAACAAAGGTATTATTAGAACAATTATGATCAATCAGAAAATAACCGAGTTAAAAGCTAAATCTTTAGAAGGGTTTTATTATTTCTATGCTTTTCATAGCACTCTAAAGCCTTTTCCAAAACCTCCACATACTTTAACCTCTCCTCATAAGAAATAGCCTTTAGTTTAGCCATTCATTCTTTACTCACACTAGTATTAAATTGATGGATGCGATTGGTTTTCCGTAAAGTTCTTTTGTCAATTTCTAACGAACGCAAATTTTCGCTGGCTTCTACTGGTGGAGTTCCAAAGTCTTTGATTTTTTTTTTACTGAATTGTTTGGGAGTTTTCTCCTCGTTTATTTCTACACAATTAGCACAGTAAGTATAATAATCGTCCAATTGCTCTAAATTTGGGGCTGGTGAGTAGGCTGTTTTTTTTTCGTAATCCTCCTGACAATTATCACAAGTAAAATTCTGGTAGTGATAAGGATTTAATTGCTGTTTAATTCTCTTTGCCATATATTTATTTTATAGTTCCTATGTGATATAGTTCCTATTTTCTTTTCTGTTTAATCACTCCCTAAATCCAGCAATAGTAAACATAAATCCTTTATTTTTATGATAAGTTTCTTTTAATAATTCTTTACAACTTTTTAATCCTTTACCATCTAATATTCATAAAAAATTTATTTCATTTGCTTGGGCTTTTTTTAGAACTGTTCCCGAATAAGACCTAATTACTTCTTGGACTTTACTTCCTGCTACATTAAAAAAACTGGTTTCTAAGTAATAAAACTGGTTATTTACTTTGATCTGAAAATCAAATAATTTATTGCCATTAACTTGAAAGTCAACTGGTAATTGCTTTTGATATTCAATTCCGTGTTGGATTAGCAAGTTTTCAATGGCCTTTTCCATGGCTTTGCCACCAATATTTTTCCGGCCATGGGTTCCTAAGCCAACTTCTACTCCTAAACAATAATCTTTTAAGTCCTTAATTTGTTCGTTAGTTAAATATTCCGCCAATCCCGAGGCAAAAATCAGTTTTTTCACTTTCTCCAATGTTAACTCTTCTCAATACTCAATATTTTCTTTATCTAGTCAAGCAAAATTTTCGTTATCTCTCACTGCTAACAAATAAGGTAAAATTTGAAAACTTTGTGGCTTCTCTTGCCATATTTTTTCTATTTGTTGGTTTAATTCCTCTGGGCTGGCACAAATTAAACTGTTTAAAACGCTTAAATCTTTTTCATAACCTAATAAATTTTCTTTTATTTTGGCTCAATTAACTAACTGACTTAAATCAATATTAGTAGTTTGAATGGTATCAAATCATTTTTCAAATTCTAATTCCTTTTTTTGCTCGTCACTTCAAGGATGATTGCTAATAAATATTTCTTGGCTGGTTCCTACTCGTTTATCGCCCTGACAATTAATAAATCTTTGGGCTTTTTTAGTGGATTGATGATAATCTTTATATAATTCCTTAATAAAATTAGTAGCATGGTTGGTTAATAGCCATTTAGCACCTTTTTTTTCACACTCTTTTAAAAAGTTGAATAATTCTTTTTGGTTTTCGCGGGTAAATTTATCAGCGGTGTAAGAAGTAAAGCCATTGCCATTATTGCTATCATAGGGCGGATCTACAAACAAAAAGTCATTTTCTTTAATTAGAGGTGATAGTTGCTGGTAATCTTGGCTAAGTATCTGACAGTCATTTTTGTTAAGGTATTCACTAATAGTTAAAATATTTTCTTTATCAAATAATTTTACTTTCTCCTTTTGTCCTCAGGGAACATTAAATTCTCCTTGACTATTTACTCGGTATAGGCCATTATAACCAGTTTTGTTTAAATAAGTAAAGCGAGCAGCAGTTTCTAATTCAGTTAAGTTTTTTATTTCTTGCCTTTTTAGGGTTTCATAAAACTCTTGACTATGTTTTTTTTCGTATTCAGTTAACAATTTAATTAATTCTTGTGGTTTTTCTTTAATTGCTTGGTAAGTGGTAATTAGTTCGTTATTGATGTCATTAATAATTAGTTGCTGAGGTTGAAGATTTAAAAAAACTGCTCCACCACCAACAAAAGGCTCAATTAGGCGATTGTAATTATTGGGGGTCAGCAAGTTAATTATTTCGATAAATTGAGTTTTACCTCCTGCTCATTTGACAAAGGGTTTTAATTTTATTGGTTGATTTAGTTGATTCATATATTATATTTTAATAAATAGTTCCTATATTACATAGTTCCTATTTTCTTTATTATTAATTTTACTAATTCCTTGGCTTGTTGCTTTAATCGGGGATATTTTACTTCACTGATGGACTTTCCCTCGTTTTGAGCTTCTCGATAACTTATTTTCTCGGATAAGGAAAGAGGGAAAATATAATAACCTGCTTTTTGTAAATAGTTCCTAGTTGCTTTTTCCTCGGCTTCTGAACTAACCGCATTTATGACAAAGGATAATTTATCTTTTTTAATTCCTGCTTTAACTAGCCCATGAAATTCCCGGACAGCAGGATTTAAGTCATCCAAGGAAGGACGAACAGGTTGAATAATTAAATTAGCCTGTTGGGCTATCTCTAAACTTCCTTTACTCATGCGGGCAGGACCATCAATTATTAAATAGTCATAATTTTGCTTTAATAATTCAGGTGGGAAGTAAGGAAAAGACTGGCAATTGATAAGGGGTTTTATTCCTTGGTTTTTCCTCCTTTCACTTCATTCATGGCTGGTTTTTTGTTGGATATCTAAATCAACCAGTAAAACATTTTTCTTTTGTTTGGTGAGTTCCACAGATAAAGCCCGAGCCAAAGTAGATTTTCCCCCGCCTCCTTTTTGAGATAAGCAAGCAATAATTTTCATACTTTTACCCATAGATTTCTCAATATAAATCCACTAACTCATCAAAATCTAGTAAGTATAAAACCCTTTCCCCGATTTCTTTCATTTCCCTTTCACTCAAATTTCCCATTTTCCTAATTATTCGGCTTTTATTGTAAACTCGCACTTGGTCGCACAAGGCTTTTCCTCTTTTTCCTTCTACTAAAACGGGAAATTCAAAATCACGAATTAGGTCAAATTTCTTGCTAGTAATTGGCACGGCTACATAACGAACTTTTTTCTTATTTAGTCGGTTAGTGGAAATAATGACTGCGGGGCGATTTTTCTGCTGTTCGGTTCCTTCGGTTTCCTTGCGGCTAACCCGAAACATGTAGACTTCTCCGCGTTTAATTATCATATCATTCCCAGTTTTCATTTTCTTCGTCGTCTTCCTCTTGGGCTTGGTTTAGCAGAGCAATTTCAGCTTCTCTTTCTTTATCTTTTGCGGCCTCCTCATAATTAGCAAACAAATCTTTCTTTCGTTGAGTTTGATTGAAAACTTTATAATTTTGTTTTTCTTGGTCTAAAAAGAGCCTTATTTTTTCCGCGTTAGCAGTTTTGATTATTATTAACTGTGTCATAATATTATATTTTAGTAATTAAATAGTTCCTATGTGATATAGTTCCTATTTTTTTAATCTAAACTTTTATCGCCCAAGGTTTCTATAGTGAAGAAGAGAGAAAACAAAAAAAAATTGCCGTTTGAGAAGAATGTAAAGAAAATCTA